GAATTGAAGTGCATGAATGTTGTCAACTCCCTCCCTCCTCTCCCATCTTTACAACGTAGGTCGGTCATCCATCACGTGTGGAGTCTATCGTTAAGGTTCATTATTGCTTGTCTTTATATGGAATAGCAGAACCCGTAAGTGTCTTATTGATGACAGTAGCGAGTCCTAATCCAGTGTGACTTGAGCAAGCGAGTCTTGTGTACGTGAAAGAAGCGAACGAATGTGCAACCAGACCCAGACCAGTATTAGATTGCTAGGCACGTCACTTCCTTTGCTCTCATCTCTTGTCTCCCCCTGCAGCCCCCACCCCCAATCTACTTTGTGGCCGCTCAACAAATAGATTACGTGAGTGAGTGAGCGAGTGAGGCTGCAACAGAGAAACAGCTTATATAGCTTGCTACACACGTGCAATCCGGGTCAAAGTAAAATTTCTACGCATTATAGTTTCCATTTTCGCATTGGCTTGGCTTCCCCTCAAGAATTTGTATTACATGTCGCGATTTTATGGTACATGGCCTATTAATATTGTATGTAAGTTACAGGTCCGGAAAGTTTTGTCATTTTGTGATGGGGAGTCTCGAGATGACGATATCCTTTATTACAAGCAAAGTTTAAAAGGATCTTACCTCAAAAATATTTTCAGTACCTACAACCCTGAATCATGCCATGCAGATGACAAATTTAAACCATGGGGACGGTACAGTGCTGAAACAATTTCCAGCCACGGTCATGATTTCAAAGGCTTAATCATCCTTCAAGGACCCCGAAAGAAGTTGTTAGTGTGGGCGCGTAACTAAGCGAAGTGGGCAGACCTATTCCAGAACACACTGTGCCGGGAATATTGTGGATTGGTGACCTTAGCCAGTGCCAGATTCGAACGGTACAAGTAATGTGCCTTTTCAGCCAAGGCCACTAGCTGACTTGTTTGGACGAGTTGCCTCTATCAACGATTTTCGGCAAGCTTCAGCTCAACACACATTAAGCTCTCCAGCGGTATAACTACTACAGTTGTTGACTGACCAACATTTTGGGAATGTCACCTCATAACATTTTACCTGGCGCTGTTTTAATTTTTCCAACATTTTATCTTCCTGTGAACACAACTATATCAGATTAAACTCCTTGTGACCGTAAAGGACTGTTTCTTTGAGCTACTAATACTGCCGGTTACCATCACCTTTAAACCTTGCACACATTACCAATTTAATAAAATATGTATAGGCCTAACTTCATATCAGAATGGAAGTTTGTTTGCTTCAGAGAAAAAGAATTTAATTTTTAAAAAGTGTTGATCGACTTCAGGTGTTACTTACTATCGTTCAAATAATCCTCCTGAGATAAAATATGTGAACTACTCATTTTTTATGAAACAAAGCATATCGGTTTACAATTTTCACAATTGCTTCGTTTGATCGGTACGCATAATATACGGATTCAAATCCCTTATTCTCGTGCGATAAGTGTTAATGGGAGGGTTGCATCTGTAATATTATTCCTGCCAGTTTCCTGATTACCGGAGACGTCGAAGAAACATTTATTATAGTTCCGCCAGACTCCACGACGCTACAACCCAGAAGAGATATGATAATTAATAAATGATTCGTTAGCATGTTTGGATTTGCGAAACTAATGACTATCAATATGCCGAAACATGGTCTCGAGTGATCACGCCCTGACAACTTGTACGGTGGTTCACAGCACGGCTTAACAGCAGCTTCGTTCGCGTCGCGATCAGTATTCTAACCAACATAATTAACTGCATGGAGTCATGAGAAACTGATAGTCGCTCATTAGGAAACAAATTCCCGGCATTTTATTGTACTCGAAGCTTGAATTATCGTATTCATAAAGATCCAGCAGCTAGACCCCGACTTCATTCAGAGAAATCCAATCGAAATCCTGATACTGTTTCATTACTTCAAGACAAAATTACTTAATGGACAAAGCAAGCGCCTCTGACCCGCCAGTAAAATTTTACCGGACGACACGGTGCACTATTCTTAAAGACAGTCATCTTCAGAATGAAAGAACATTACAAAAAATGTACGCGGGTAGAAAAACGTACATGGGCGTGTCACTAGTTGAGAACTCTTTCCTTAAAGAGTGTAAAAGGGTTACTCAAAACACAGTGGACTTACTTTACATACGAAAATACCTTCGGCAGTGCCACAAAATTGTGTTGAAAACTTAAAATAAAAGGCAAATAGAACAGCCATACAAAAGCTAGGAAGAGTTCAGAAGATTTATAAAGTATTTTTAAAAATAATAATTTTAACCAGCGTAAAGAATACGGAAATATATTCATCCATCACGAATCAAATAATATAAAGCACTTGAAATTACGAAAGAAACACTGAAATATTAATAACACAGTAACATTTTATACACTCTAATGGGTTTGATTGCTTCAATGCCATCCACTGTTATTTATGTTCTGTCTCAAAGTAAAATATCTCTATCTTGAAAGTTTTTGCACGGTCTGTTGATTGAGAAACACTGTCTTACGCATTCACTTCAAAGCTGAATAATTCTTTCGAACAATATGAGACAAGGAATGAAGGAATGGCTCGGATTCTGACTAGAAAACAAAAGTAGTCGGGCAGTTCACACGTGCCTAGAGTAGCAAGTGATAATGAAACAGCTAATCAAAGCCTGTGGAGAGAAAATTCTTAAGCGTACGTACAGCACATATACAAACACACACATACACGTTATATGGAGCGTCGTCAATGCCAGAAATTCTCTTGCTACTTTGCAATCTGCACGGATTTTGAGACATGAATAGAAACGAACTGCATCAGGAAGGTAAATCTGCAATACTGAGTGGCTACCGTTGCATCGCGTCGTCTTTGACACAGTGCAGTATGCATCACGAACCCAATTTTCCCTGGAGAAAATTTGAAAGCAATCAAAACGCAATCATTATTATAACATTTTTCCCCATGAGAAATGTTCTCTTAAAAATACGAACCAAAGTAACATGTAGAATAAGGGCCAGAAATTTGTTTATTTGAAATAGTATGATTACTGCAGTCTACATTACCTCCTATGAAAGAAGTAATTTCGTTAATAGAAAGACTAGTACATCATATAATAGTATACGTTTAATAACTAAATACGTATATAAAGGCAGAACAATTGTACAGCACACGCTCGTCTTCTGAAGAAAAGACAACATTCAGTACTCAAATGTGTAGAATTCTGTCCAAGAAGCCTGTACTAATGACCAACAGCTTGTCTAATTCAGTTTTGGGTGCTCTCCTGATAACAACACAGGAAGAGAGCAAAATAGTGGATAAATGGGGTGAGGAGTCATAGGTCCACCTAAAATTTCGAAAATATTCCGTTAAATAATTATACTGGGATAACACTACGAACGAGGAGTGAAAATATTAAAATTCTGAAAAATCTAAAAAACGTATTTTTGAGAAATATACTTAGTTTTGTGAAACGTATGCCTCAAAAAATTACAACTTGTACCCTGTCAAAATGTTAGGCATGTGGCCCATCGAATTATTCAGCCATACTAAAACAAAGTTCATATTAACCAGAGTTTAAAATTAATTTTGCAGACGCTTTGCGCTGGAAACACGTTCCTAGATCAACCACACTATACATGAATTTGTAAATTAGATTTGTTGACACAAAGTAATTTTACCGATTAATTTAGAAAGAGTAATTGTTTAACAGTTGTATGTTAATCGATTAAATTTGTTATCGGCCAAGAGCCCACTACTAATAAAAGCTTGTAATTAAAACTTTGGGACCGTAAATTTTCAACATAAAACAAGGGAAGGGAGAAAAGTAGAATCAAAATAAAGAAACAAAATATCATACATGGTCTGGGGCACATTGGAGCATCTCTTCTTGTTCCAATTGAAGCGCTTTTTTTAAAAAAATAATAAAGTGGTTAGGAAGCGAAGCTATTAGGGCTGCAACCGTACACCACGTGACAAAGGCGAACGAGCTGAAACTTGTAAAATACTGTTCGCTGGAACTTTTAATGGGATGAGAGAGATCGAAAAAAATTTAATTGTATTTTGGCCATCAAAACAACTTTTAATATTTCGTTCATTGCATTGCAAGTTTCTTCTGCTGAATTAATCAACGCTCATCAACTTGGGGTGCTTATCCATGTTCACTTGTAGCAATTCAATTCAATTTCTCCGTATCAAATACGAAATTCTCCATTAATAACTGATATGACCTCCCGATCGCAAGTGAATTTAATGAATGGTATCCGAGTATATATGACTTTATTGTCCTCCCACTACTAGACATAAAAAGGAAAGAAAATGAGACATGTATTTGAATGCAATTTCTAAAAAACACTGAATACTTTCCTTGAACATGTCTATTTTCGTTGTTTTAAGCATCAAATACCAAAGAACATGTAATATCTAATATATTTAAAAGCATTTAATATTGTGTGTGTTTGTTATTGTACGGGTCTATGTTCAGAAATTATGTACCTTGTTTCAGGGATGTATTTTCAGATATTTGAAACTTAAATCGTTTTCATACAGTGCATAGGCATCTTAAATTCTATGGAATTTTTCGAGTAATGCTCTAGTAAAGTTTTCGTGTGTTCAAATACGAGTAATTAACGCGTATTTTCGTAAAATTTTGCTGGTCACCGATAAAATATACCACCGATTCTGTGTTTACTAGAAAGTAACCTCTCACAATGGTAGGAAATTTTACGACATTTATAATTTATGCAAGTACAAAACTTTATTTCGTAATCCACAGAACATACCATTACATCCAATTAACATAATTAAAACACGGAAAAGTTGTTTTGTGAAATTCCTCAGATATGCCGTAATTCATCCACTAGCTAAATCACGCAATTCTGAACCGACTATCAAATAACGAGCACATATTAGACAAAACTAACATAATCTGATCGTGAAAGAATGAGATGTTAACAGGGATCCTACCTTGCGACTAGCTGCCAGCAGAAGTGCTGCCGTCAGCTTGCAGGAAGATCCACTTACCTAGAGCGTCTGAAACATAAAATAAACACAACATACCATTAAACCAAAACATACCGTAACTTATTCATATAGTAACAGGTACAGGGCAAACAAAATTTTACACACAGCAACTAACGGTCTAGATCATTTTCGAGTCTCTACTTTTTAAATGTGACTGGTATCTCCCCTCCGAAAAACTGCAGCTTCAAGATAAAAATACAATTTCATGCCATGCTCATGTACAAAAATAAAAATGTAATATTTATAAAAAACAAACCCGCGCAGTTCTTGGTTAGGACAGTAAAACAAATTGTGACTATATAAAGATCTTAATACATTACTTTCTTGCACCTAACCTTCCAGCAATTACGACAAAATTGCCTTCTTTGAGTCGATATTTTTGCAACGAATCGTTAACGGTGTAAAGTTATTATTACATAAACAAAGATGCCTACGAAACCCTGTTACTGTCGCTTAGTAATCGATCGAACTATTTTATTAGCCAATCAGGAGGAAGTCTGGGTCTTTGAAAGTCTTGTGAACTATAACCTAGCGGAAGAGAAGAGAACGAAATGTTGCCTTTCGTGACTTTCCAATCATCGAATGTCTCCTCTTATTCCATCTTTCCTTATGATTCGCACTCAATCCACACAATATGCTTAGCGTTTCTTCAAGAAAAAGTAAAAAAAAATCACCTTCCATTCACAAGGAAGTGTGTTAAGTTTCTTACACTATCTCACGAGTCTATAATCAAGACAATGCTGGCAGCTGAACATCTCGTCTCGTCTCACTCGTGACAAGAGAAGTCACGCAGAAGGGCAACCCCAGGGGCAAGAAGGGGAACAAAATATACGTCTACATGCTGATTCACGCTTACAGACTCGACGCATTCCAAACTCATAATTCAAACTGAAATTAATAGTCTACTTTCACATCAGCATAAACATGACAAATGATAAAAAAATCTTGATAATAATAAAATATTAATATTTGACAAACATATTATAGAATGCAGCCTACATCATGTAAACAAAACTCATTCAGTTACATTCTTGAATGGCAAACTCATATATCAAGACAACCGACTTTGGTGTCTACCTTATAAAACGTAACCAACATCACAAACAATAGCGCATAAATGAAATCAGATGGAGGTCCTCCCTGGTGTAATATACTCTCTGAGTCAAAGATACCCTTGTTACTACGCCGCTGCTCATGCCAGATGCGCAGAAGTTCTCTTGGTGCGAACATGGTCTACTCACGAACAAAATTTGCACTCATTTTCCAAATGTTACTTCGCGTCGAAATCGTTTGCTACTGTTTTAAAACATTTTCTAGTGTGTGTCGTCACAAACACGTACCAAGCAGAGCAACATCGTTTCCAGATATAGGAAGTGTTCGACAAGAAGGAATTACATTGCTGGTCTCAACAAGACGGGATGACGGCCCACATAGTCAACACAACTGTTTTACTGCAACACTTTTCGGGCGAGCGCATTTTTTGGGTGCAGGTCTAAGATCACCGAGATCTCAAGACCTCATCCTGCCAGACTAGCCCACGTGTTTGCAGCAACGTCATATTATTCCCAGGGATCCATTGCTCTCCATGTAATTTATCTTGACGTCTTAAAAGGTAGACCGGGAAGGACGGAAGTAAGTATAAAACTTTGCGAATCCTCTACCGTAACAAATCATTTAGGCCTGATCGCTGAACACTGACACAGAATGTTATTTGAGACGTGAATACCTTTCTTGCCGTCCCGTTGAGAAAACCAAGCCGTAAGCACAAATCACCACCTGAAGTGCAGACGTCGAATCAACTGATGCGGATTTTAACGTAAATGTTATTTCATTCGTGAGCTTATATTCTATAATAATAATAATAATAATATTTTTCGAACGGATTTGCTAGTAACATCAATGGAAAATACTAGTTAAGGCTAATTGTTTGACATGAAAATGACAGCGAAAACATATTGAAATCCTCGCGTGATGCAACTTCGATAACCAGAATCATCCACATGGCATGAGCGAAAATCAACAACCTGTCATTTTGAAGACATCTCGATTTGTGTCCGTTTATTCCCTTCACAATGCGACACTCAGAATGCTTGCAGGAAACTATTACCATTTGTTTCAGTTGTGTTGAATGCATCGTTCACCTCACAGCAACGTCCGTTGACCAACCGGTGGTCAACAGAAAATTATGACTAACTCAATTTGTTTGCTTACTTCCTTTTTTCCTCGCTTTCCTCCCTCCATCTCTTGTCGGCTTGCCCTCCCTTATAACGTCCAATTTTAATGCGCTATATTTTTTCTCCTGTTTTTACCTTCTCCCTCTTTTTTCTCTCTTCATTTGATTGTCTTTGCCGGTGTGTGCCTGAGTTTCAGATTATCCTGCCCTAACGATGTCCTTCCTTAATGCTGAATCATCTGAAGCAGAATCATAAGTGGTATTTATTCTGTTGCAATATATAACCTGCGCTTTGTTCACACAAAAAGTTAACAAGCGACTCAGAATTTGCTTACGTAAAAGTTCAAGGCACGCATTTGCTAGTCACGGCACTTGATAAATCAATGCTTAAGAATGTATTGAAGCAACCAACCGCAATTAGAAACATAACGTTTTCGCTGATCTGTAAATGCTATTCAAAGTTAAACAATATCAAATTTTATTGGTAGCTAGAATAATCTACTCAGGGAACAGAAAATCGTGTACGGACTGCGGTACAACAACAATAACAATTTATCTCAGTTTTCATTTACAGTAATCGGGACGAATCACGCGTTCCACGTCCGTTAAAAATTATGGCAAGAGGTCAGAGCAGCAGATATAAATGCATATACTAGCCACTCTATAAATACTATTTTCCAGCGGCAGTAATTTTCATCTCTCTAACCCAGTTCCCATGTCAGTTATGTCTTTGGTTTACATACATTGTACCCCTTCTACCCACACGTTAATGACGTAGGCGAAACGCACACTTAACATAAAACTTACTGAGAAAATATGAAACTACGGAATTTCTGCTGAAAATATCAGCATGGAAACAGCTGAGCCAACACCACAACGAAATGGCAGCAGAGCTACGGCATTCCACATGAAAGTTGTGAAATGCTACGAGTAGGCTTATCACGAGCGGTATGAAACAGGGAGAGGTAGGGTCTCGGAATGCCTTATTTCTTTTCTTTTTATCCGCCGCTTTCCAGCTGCTTAGAGCTTCTCGTTACAGGCCCATGTCGTCATGGACAGTTAAACGAACCCAACGTTAATGTGTTTCTTATTTCTATCCTGCCCACACTTACATACGTCCAGTTTTATTATAATGTGGCAGATGGCGCTTCGCATCTATCGCCTTAATGTACGCAATGGCTATGTCCTATGGCTAATTTCTTCTTGGACCAAATTCAATGCGTCATTAACCGGCGGTGCAAATTTGTGTTGCAGATCACGTCCTGTGATGTGCCTTCTGGAACAGGACCAAATTTATTCATTCAGAATTATTAATTAATGTTGCAGCCGCAAACAGAACTATCCTGCTTTCGAATCCTGATGGTTCCTTTCCTGTACTTACTGTTACAGACAGCTTCAAGAATTTTATCCCTTCTTCATTTCATTCCCTTATTCTTCCTATATGTTCTCTTTCAGTCTTCTGAGTCCTCAACAATTAGGACTTTTTCAATACTTTGATGGTCCCATGGATTCGTTTTCATATTTAAATCATCATGTGAACTATATTTCTGCAGGATATTTTCGACGTACCGGAGGACCTTACCGTCTCCACTTTCAAGGCAAATACAGGATCTGGGAAACGTCAGCATTACTGCATACATCCTCACGAAACCACGTTGTCTCCTATTCTTTTGTCTTTCTTCCAATTCATTTCCTCTTCACTCATTACAATTGAATAACTTCTAGCTTTCAAGCTTTCAAATGTGAAAAAAATGTAAACTTTACAACTGGACATAATAACCCGTACATTTTACAGATTTGTTTTTTAACCTCTTCCCTACATGAAAACTGGGGCAAGTTACAGAAGTTAATAATTGTCTATTTTCTTTACGTATGCCAGAAGCCTCTAAGTCAGGACCGAGGGTATGATAATGTGCTGCTTGGTCAGGGCCATTGCGCACCTATAGTCTCAAAACATTCCCTAAAGAATCTGTTCACTGAAAATTCCACAGCCTACAACCGGTCGACCCGTAATAGGTACCCCGCCCGAATAAAAATGCAGCACGTGTGTCCCGGAAGCTGGGAGACACGCCCTCGCCGGCCCTGTATGACTTTCCGGTCTAGCAGTAGCAAAGGACTATTATTGGCAGCTCAAATCAACCCGTTCTAGTGTATCATCATCGACACGGGTACGAGACTACGTCCTCATTAGTCCTGCGACTGCAGCCCCTTCGCCACCGGTTAATGGCAGTAGATCGTGACGTTAACCGTACAGAAACCGGTGATTTGAGACGGGGATAAAACCAACAGGTAGCCTGCCATCACAGCAGCACGGTCGGATTTCAGCACACTGCGTATCCTCATAGACGATCGTGCAAGTCAACTGAGAATGAGAGGACGTTCAGGTATTAATGAACGTCGAAGTCAAAGTTATTTTCATAAAGCGAGCTGGTACGTATTTAGCACGTAATTTGATCACGCGTTTACAACTGCAGTGGTTGATCATCGTCGGATAGGATAAGGGATGTTCATCGAGCGTGTCTCGGAACGTGATGTGCGCAGCAGTGCTTTATTTGAAGGCACTACGCAGATTTAACTGCTACGTCAGCTTGGAAACAAGAAGCTGTCTGACTTCTGGGTTGTTGCGTTGTAGTCTGGTTAATGATTAACGACGTTTCAGAAATGCTTGCTGTTTCTTCACGGCAACGTCGGTAAACTTCTAGCAGAATACACGGGACAACAATCCAGAAGACAGACATCTTCATATTCGCTGCCGCAAAAACCTGAAATTCCTATATGGAAATATAGAGAATGCCTTATTCTCTCAAAATGACCATAAATTCAGAGACAAAGCATA